TGGATGTTTTTTATTGGGGGAGGAAATGGGATTCATCGCAAAAAGCAGAGATATACGCATGCAACTGAATTCGGTTTCGAGACCTGACTTTTAAGGTTTCCAACCTACGACACAGCGTCCTTGAGACCCCATCCAGGAAGTCGGGAAGAACCAACCGAGGCCAGCTGTTTTGCCAGCTTTTTCATCCTGCTTCTTCAAATTGTAGGCTGTTCACCACACCGCCTCTTCTAATCCTGTCCAGCGACCACGAACAAACCTGCGGAAGATGCTGAACGGACATACGCAGTACGTGTCCGAGATATCGTAGTTGGCGCAGCGAGACAAGCGCAGCGAAAGAGTGGCTATGTCCACCCAAGATACGCTGTCTGACTTCAAATTTAGTTACGTGGTCCAGCCACCACACATGAGCGATGGACCGCATGCAACGGTTCTCGAAGACAAACAGTCGGCGCAGCTCATCGGTAAGAACAGGTCAGGTCTCGCAACCGTACAATAGTACAGCGCAGACAGCGACACTATAAGCCCGTCCTTTGATGGAGAGAGGGATGTCATGACGACGCCATAAATGCTTCAGCTCGCAGTAGGCAAGAAGAGCTATTAAATGCGCACTGAAAGCTCGTTTCTAAAAGTCTAACCAGCAGTTATGCGGCCTACCAGATGGACAACCATCATCATCATCATCATACACGTTAGCTAGAGGTGAGGAATACCTCAGCTACTGTGCCGCCACCCATAGAAAAAAGGAGAAAAAAGCAACTGGTGCAAGCTGGCTGAGCTACCGGTAACGGATGGGCATCGTTCCGGTAAGCTACCAGCCGGCTGCTGTGCACCCCAAAAAAATAATATGCAAAATTATATAAGGCTAAATATTGAGATCGTAGTTGGAGGGGGAGGCGAAGAGGGATGGGGTGGGACAAAGAAACTCACAGCACGAACGCCACTGAGATCGGCTCCTAGCCATATCAGCAAGTGTGTCCAATCAAACGTGTTCTTCGTCTTTTGGACCCCAACCAGGGAGCCGAGACGCTCCAACCGAGGCCAGCTCAGAATTAAAGGCCTTCATTCCTCTCGACCAAGTCGTCGCTTGGCCAACCCTCCTCTTCTTCCATCCACACCCCCGGCGCGCAAACAACACACGTCGCGGGAGTCGGTGGGCTGGCATGCGTAACACGTGGCCGAGTCATCGGAGCCTGATGCGCGTAATAACAGTGCTGAGCGGTTCAGTTCCTTTTCCTGTGCTATAAACAAGGCATCGAACACGCTTGTTGCTCACGCGGTGTTCCCACCAAATGTGAGCTAAATTACCAAGGCACCGGTGATCGAACGTAACTAGCCTCTTCAGGTCCGCTGCTTTAAGCGGCCAGGTTTCGCAGCCATACAGTAAGGTCGAACGCACCGCTGCATTGTACACTCTAACCTTCAAGGCAAGAGTGATGTCGCGCCGGCGCCACAAGTGGCGATGGTTAGCAAAAGCACCCCGAGCTTTTGCTATACGATTCGTGATTTCATCTTCAATCCCACGGGCGCTGATACAACTTCCCAGGTAGTTGAATTTTTGAATGACTTCTAGCTGATCCCCACCAGCGGTCAGCGTAGGAGGTAGTGCTTGTCAAAACCCACTGGTGACAACAAAGAAAGACGAATACTTGCACCAAGCCCTAATTCTATCCGAGGTCAGACTATACAGATCACGCAAAACAGAAACGAGTTTCCCGGGGATGCCATTCCTCAATAGACAATGACACAACGTAGCCCTGTCGACAGAATCAAAGTTAGCACGGACAGCAGGAACAAAAAATCATTGACTTTTGATGTCGGCCGGTGGCCGAGTGGTGTGCGCGACTGGTTGGCAATCATAAGGTCACCGGTCTGAATCCGCGTAGGGGCGGGCGTCCTCGCGGTATACTCAGCCCACGCGCGACTAGTGTTGGTCGCGTAGCAGCGAAGCGCCGTTACGGCGTACTTTTACTTTACTTGGACCTGGAGAATCTGGCGGAGTGTGAAAATCTAATTGTTGCATCCGCGACGAGGACGGAAACCAGCCTGGTATTCTCGCTGTAGTGATTCACGCGTTGGGGATAGCCTGCGAAGAATGATGGAGACCCGAATCTTGTAAACGACGGAAACTAACTTATGCTGCCGTATACTGAGCAAATTGTGCGCAGACCCTTTATGAAGATGGTGACAGCTGTCGACTTACTCCAGGATGATGGAACCTCCCTTTTGTCCAGACATCTGAGAACAAAGCGGTGAGTTCTCGAACCAGCAAAGAGCCTCCCCCTTTAAATAGAATAGGAGGTAGGCCGCTACTTCGGCTTGGGCAACGGGGTAGTATCTTGCCGTCTGACGAAACCATAGACTCATCCGTGTTGGTTTATTTTTTAACGAGATTTATACCTTCCTTTGACTCCCAGGGATTTTGATGGCTCCATGCCTCTTCGTAGGATGTTGCAAATATATATATAATATATATATATATATATATATATATATATATATATATGAGGTAGGCCAACAAGGCCGGGCGCCTTATAACGCTTTGGGCAGCAGAGTTTCTGCCAGATTTTTTGGTGAGACGGAGAATCAATTGGGATAGTTCACACATCACCAGTGCGCGCCCCAGTGGAAACAGATGGATCTAGCGGCCATGGAAACAGCCGTCGCCCCAACCGTAGTGATTAGGGAGCCATGATCTTCGCAAATTGTTTCGCTTACTCACGCTCGGAAGTTTGCAGCGACTTGGTTGAGGTGACATAATAATAATAGTAATAATAAATAAATAAATAAAGAATGTCAGTTGTACGCCATTACTGCGCTTCGCTGCGATTCGACCACCACCAGTCGCACGCGGGCTGAGCATACCTTGAGGACGCCTACCCTTACACGGATCAGAGCCCGAAAGCTTACGAAAAAGGCTCGTTACACCTAAGCTACGGGCTGATGGTGATATGAAACAATTTTATGGTATTACGAGAGATTAACAACTTCAATCTCTCTCGCGCGTACACGTCACCAAGTGTCCGTCGGTGGCCGAGTGGTATGCGCATCTGGTTTGCAAACCTAAGGTCACCCGTTCGAATCCGCGTAGGGGCAGACGTCCTCGCGGTATATTAAACCTACATGCCACTGGTGGTGGTCGTGTGGCGAAGCGCCTTTACGGCGTACGGCTGGCGACTATTTTTCCTTTTCAACATTACCAAGTCGCATGGTCTTACTGTAAGCTCCTATGCGTACCTCACTACAGCTGGTGTCAGCTGGGATCAAGCGGTGTCTGTCTATTAGCAACAAAGAGATAGTAGTGATCCAGCTTTTCGGCTGGTGACAAGCAAATCCACAACTGACAGTACTGGCAGAAGTTAAAGCGTCTATGCTGAGCATCCATTGCGAATTGAGACCATCCTCAGAGGATGAAGCAACTAGCGTTGACAGAGAAGTCTGGTACTTAGCTAACGTCGCAGGATGTTTCAGATTTTCGAGGTTCGGTCAGTAGTATGTACGTCTGGATGATCCCCGATATGTATGCAAAGTTTGGCGTGAATCAGTGCACGGTCGAAGTCCAGACAAGTTGATCAGTACGATCAGCGATCTGTCACGCTTCCGTGCTTTCTGCAGCTGATTTCTATGTGATCAAGGTGAGTCCATTCTTGTGCTTGAGAAGGTGGACGCCATGTAGCAGTCTGTCTTTTCGGATGCCAAAATCAGTGCTCGAAGGGAACGAACGATGATCGGAACAAAGGGTCAGTAGCCTGTCTCCACTGTCTGCTCGAATGCTACCGAGGTCAATACTACCCCCAAGACTTTGCTTGCTTAGTGGGAGGCAGTCCACTCGTGCATTAAAATCTCCGGCAAGTATGATTATGTCAGACTTTTAGCGGGACGCAGAAGCTCATGTATCTGTTGGTGAAACCAACCCTTGACTGCATCCGGGCTGCCAGCGAACTATCAGCGTCAGCGTCTCAAAGCATGGGGAGTTCTGGGCTGGTCACCTGCTTCTCCATCAAATGCCACAAGAGCTCTAACGGTACTGTGTCAAAGCCAACTTGACCGGCTATAGGGTCACTGACCAGTTACTTCTGTAACCAGAAGTGAGTAATTAATGGAAGGCGGATGAATAACCTTGTTATCCACCGGCTTCTCTTTGGACTGCTACTAAACACAAAGAAGGGGAATGAACCACCCAAACGTCAAAGGCCTTGGTTAATGGCCATGCTGCCATGCTGCCTAGTGAATTAGGTTTTTATGACTGAAAGCTTAGGGTGGGGTCCCTTAAGTCAACCCTCTTCCTCGAGCTGGGCAACTGGGAAGATCTTTGCCCACACAACATATTAACCTTCTAAACTTTCCAAGCCCTTTCGCTGACAACACCTTTCCCCCTTTTTGTTGTTGTTGATTAGGTGTTCTGACACTGCCAGTTGTACGTTGGTCAAGTGTTCACTAATAATGGTTCAATGGTTCAATGGTGTATGATGGGATAAAAAGCACAACTTTACAAGACCCACAGGATGAATATGCAAAAATTAAATCAAAAGCTTCCAACGCGGAACGTAAAGTATCAGTGGTTAAATCATTGCACTTTAACAAAGCGCTGTGTATCGTTTATCACTAAGATGAAAATCTAATAATATAATATACAACGGGTGGCGCTGCGAAGACCCTCTTCTAATGGCCGGCTGAACTGCTTTACAATGTGTTCCCCTTAACGCACGCTTCGACATTGGGAAGTTGGAGAAAGCTCATCACTGGTTTCACATGAATCCAGTTGTTTGAATTAAGAGACATTAGCAGCACGCCAGCGCACAGTACCGACTCTCGCTGCCACGCTGCTGCGCACCCACCAACAGTCACACGTAGTTTAAGGATACTGCGACGGTCGCCCGGTACCTACGCAGACTTGCATCCGCGCACTCGGAGTACAAGGCAGGCTTGTACTCTTTAAGGCTACGGCCCCGTATGAATTAAACTTTGAGGAGGATGCTTATTCCATTTGTTGACATCTAGAGTCAATCCATCCCAGAGGTTTATTTCAATAAGCCAGGTGAATACAGCAGTGATAACCTTGCGCTATGAAGCGTGTCCATTGCAAACCAGAACTGTCCGACAGCAGTAAAGTAGAACTCGAGAAGAATATACACAGAGGTACACCTATGATTGCAAAAATGATCGTCCAGCAATCTGTACGAAGTCCAGTGCCTGGACAGATAAGACTTACGTATTACGAATTCAGATAACACGTACACTGAATGTTGGCCCGCAACACTTTGGCGAATAGCGACATCTTTTTCCTTGCGACTGGCCGAATACCAAAAAGAATGTTTGTTGGTAGGTGACAATTTTCTTCATTGTCAAAGCCGCTTTGATTACATCGTGAATGCTCTCACTGAATGGCCATTTGGTCACAAAATTACTGAACATAACAATAGCTACTTTCTTTAGCTTGAAGATGGGGAGACCGATGGTTCTGTAGCTCTCCTGATGCATGCGGCACCGCCATAAGATTCAGAATCAATGTATTTTCTGTACAATAATCCTGAATGTCAGTGTGATAATTTGGAGCCAATTAGGTGAAGAAAATGTATTTTCCGCGACTTCTGGGCAAGCTTTCCTGCAACATGGCCAGCGCTCCAGCCTTCTTTTGCAGTGTTGCCTTATATTCCAGTGAGTCAATCACGGTCAGTGGAATCTTGGTTCTTGCTCCCCTGAGAGCACGTGAGCTCCGCACAATCACTTTGATTCTTCCGACTATACGATATCCGTCGGGGGCTCTGCGTAAGTACACCACGGCACCTAGGTTCCGATAAACATCACCCATATTTGACGCACTGAAAATGGTTAGTAGTTTTCCGCCAGCTGTGAATTCATACCCGTTTTGAATGAAGTCGTGTGAACGAATAACCAACTGCAATCCGAACCGTTGGCAAAAATCCTCCACCACTTTTTCCCCGAACCACTGTCCCAAACCGGCCGGGTTCGCAGAGTAATTGTGTGTGTCCACTACTGGTTCGGACCAGGTCAGGTGGGTGAGGAGGAAATTCTCCGTCAATGAAACAGGCCTCCGAATGATATCAGTGATGTACATTCTGAGTTGCGCCAAACTGGTTGCCGTCGAGTAGTGTATACACGGGACTAGACCACTGTGCACACAGAATATACAATCCTCTATTATCGCCACGGCTGGTAGACAATTCAGGGCATTCATAACAACTTTCCATACGTTTTTACTGAAGCGTTTGACACATTCAGCAAGGAATCCGTATTGCCATGAGACGTACTCACAGTCATGATTCCCACGGAGCATGTGAATGTGTTTTGGATACTTCAGTTTGAGTGCAAACAACAGACAAAACACTTCAATGGACTGGTTGCCCCGATCCCCATAATTCCCTAGAAAGAGATATCTACTCTGCGGTGGATAGCCCAACTTTTCAAAAATGTTCAACAGATCACCGAATTGTCCCAGGATGTCACCAACTATGTACAGCGGTTCGGCCAGCTGGAGGTCAATAACTACAGGATCGAACATGAAAGAGTCAGCCACCTGTATTGCAATTCCATGTACTTCACTTTCGCGTACGTCCGCGTTCGCGCCTCGCTGGACATTTTTATCACGCAGACGTTTGATTATACTGTCCAATTTTGCCAAGATGGATCCTCGGTTTCGACGTGCAAAATACGACTGCTCCGGCTGCATGTGAAGTGTTCCTGGTCCACGCACAGTTTCAACAACTTACACTCCGATATGCGAGTGAGTCACAGCGTTGTTTGAACCGGTCTTCGATTTTATCTCACGTGCAAGCGTGCAAGCTGGTCACATGCTCGAGGATCCGCAGACATGTGTTTTGGCTGGTATTTGTGGAAGTGCACGCGAGATGAATGATCAATGTAGTGCAGCTGATTTCGGCCAGAGAAAATATACTGCACTTACACAAAGTGTATCTATAGGAATGCTGCTACAAAGAAGTGGTGCTACACCTTAGCTGCACCTCCCATTGCAGTGGCGTTTGCAGCGTTTTTGTGCAGGCCGAGCGAAGATTCAGCGTAGAAGTTGTTCCGCTTTTCAGGTCTCAACTTTCTTACTACAGGAATGATGCTGAGATATTAAGGCTTACTGGGCACACAGGATTTGTTGTGTAGCCGCCGACTGTCCGCAGGACACAATCGCAAGAGAACAAAGAAAACGAACCAGGACAGATTTGAATGCATGAGAAATCTGCTCCATTTGAATGGGGTACGATAGTAGTTGAAGCAAGGCTACTGTAGCACTCTCGAGCTAACCATCGACAAAGAAAACATTGAATAATACAGGTGAATGATAAGTGATTAAACTAATAACCAAGCCCACGAGTTCGAGGAGATGGTAGATGGCGTGCTGTGCTTCATAAACTCTGTAGAAAACGGACAGTCGTTTGCATGTGTGGTCCCATACAGTAGTGCCCACAATATGACCGGCGCGACAGAAAGCTGATTAATTATTAGCACCGTATCAAAAAGTCCGTGAACCCGTGAGATGGTTATGGTAACTTGTTTCAGATTTGGGTCACAACAACATCAAGGGCAGTACTCGGTGGAACTGGCAACATGTACCTGGAACCAAATGTAACTGCCTCAAATTATCTTTATCGGTGTGACTGATTAGGATAGCCATTACCCCGGTCTGTATGGCCGCTCAGCACACGCCTAGCACAATCAGGCATGAAGATAGGTGATCGTGCCAATTTGTCGGTAACCATGACCAGCGCAGCTCTAGATGCAGTTCTTTCGCCGAACTCAGAATGAACGCTTTATCAGTATACAGTATTGGCAATACCAAATAAGCTTACATTGGAGACAGTTAAGTGGTGTTATCAAGTAGTTACAGTGCACGATCGTGGCCTCCGTGGCGCAATCGGCTAGCGCGTTCGGCTGTTAACCGAAAGGTTGGTGGTTCGAGCCCACCCGGAGGCGCGGATTTTGATCCCCCAGTAGGCAACTTCGGAATCGGTACTCTGCTAAATGGATTTGTGTACTCTCATGCGTGCAGTGCGCGGCGCTACATCATGTCTAATATCTTATTCAAGACGGTCATTGCTGTCACCGGTAGCAAAGTGGTCTCAAACATGGTCTGTCCACAGTCGAGTTGCGGGTTCGAGCCCTACCATGGTCACATGGAATGCGCAACGCTGATGATTCCCGAAAGGATGAAACGCGCCTACAGTTCTTTTCCGGGAGTGTGATGATTGTTTGAGTGAGTCTAGGAGCAACGAATTTCTACGCGTATAATTCAACTCCTTCTACTACTCCTCGGTAATCAGTACGCAGACCAAACTGCTTATAATGACACAGGTCAATTAGCGGCTTAAGTTTGGTAAATGCATCGCTTGGTGAGGGGCTACTCAGTCCTCTGCACGGTAGTAATGTGCACTATCTCGGCACTATATCACGCCTAGTAACTTATTCACGATGGTCATTGCCGTCCCACTCGACTGGCAACAGTCGAATTGCGGGTTCGAGCCCTACTATTGTCCGATGCAACGCGCGTGCAGTGCTTTTCCAAGCGTGTGATGGCTGTCTGACTGAGTCTAAATGTGACAAATTTCCACATATACTTAGCAAATGACGCCATCACGGGAGTAATGTGGCCTTCTGCCAGCTGTACGGACAGGGAATGGGTCTTGGCGATCGGCGTGCAGCAGTACGACAGTGCATACGATAGATAATCAATAAAATGAGTTTGACGGAATAACAACACATATCAATTAAAGTATATCAGGAAATATTGCATTAAATCAAGTGAAACTGCATATTGCGTTGTATCCAAGCAATGATTCGATGAGAGCTATACTCTCTAATTACAACGATAAAATGAAAAAAACGCAAAAAGCAGAATAGGTGAATAATTATCTGAAGTACAATGCATTTGACGCACTAAAATTTAATTGCAGAAGTGATTGTCAAGTTCAAGCGGGACTGGAACGACAGGATGATCCCGTGAGCGTTCCTTCTTCGGCGGGTCGTTGAACCAGGAGTTGGCGAACTTTGAAATACTGATGGACCTAAAACAAAGACCGCATCACACCCTGTCCAATCGATTAATGCCCACGTATCCTGCCCTAGCAGTCCATGCTGGGCCGGTCGCAGTCCGTGCTTGTCAACAAGGTTCCTCCAATATTGGGTAGCACAGCACACACTCTCCTTGTTGACATAGCTCGTTGCGAGGTTTTCATTCCCGAACATATAGCGCCCCAAATTATAATTACTATCTTTTGTGTACATATACACCGATGTTCGCTTGTACACTATTCTTCCTTGTTTCACTCGCCCTTACATTGCGTCCATGTTGACCTACATCCGGCTGGACACTTGACCATCCTGAAAGTTGCCGCCCTAACGTGTTCTTCGTGTCTCCCTTCAACCATCCACCTCTTTTGTAGCCTATCTAATATAATTCGCTGTGCCCGACTTCAATTAGCTTCTGATTTTCGCGCTCGGCTACGAGAACGGTATCCGATTAATATTTACTAGTCCTACAAATTGATGACACAGATTCGCAGGCGCGAATTCAAACTTTTTTCGTCTTTTCAAAGTTTTGATGAGTTCGTTCCTTTTTTGATTATATACGCGTGTTTGTTTGTTCCCTGCGTAATTTTAGTAGTTTCATTCTGTTTTTGTTCATCCTTGATCCTAGTCGTTTTACGGCGTAGACATGCTTCCTTTTGCTGTTCCACGTTTCATGGAACACAGCCCCTGTAGGACCAGTTAATACTAGTCCGAGGCGGTGCGCGAAAGTAAGCGCGGATTATCAGAAGGCAATTGGAGTCGGACACAGCGGACTGTATTCGATGGGCTACAAAAAGAAGCGGACGGATGAAGCGAGGCGAGAGCGTACACGTGAGCCCGGGAACTTACAAGGCAGTTGTGTGCCGAGCCGATTGTATGGACGATTAAAACAAGAAGGAATAATGTACAATCGGTCAACAAGTAAATTGTATATGAAAGATAAGAGTTATCCTTTTGGGCGCTACACCCCGAGGTTTGGTTTGCGATACGCGAGATCGAACTGGAAAATAAGGGCATTCAGACAGATCGTTTGATGTACAATCAGATCGTCCGACGCCTTCCTTTGTCGGTTAAGACGCAGGTACAGGACATTCTACTCTGCCAAGTGAATGAAGCGAAGTATGAAACGATGAGGCAAGTGATTTTAAAGGAGTTACTGATCAGCGCACAAGCTCGATTTGAATAGCTCAACGGTCTCAAGCTGGGAGATCACAAACCGTCTACATTTCTGCGTGAAGTTCAGCGCATCACTGGTCCTTTATATTTGTGTGCAGAAAGGATAATGGGGCTGTGGTCTGCACTTCTCACAGAGCCATTGCAGGTATTGCTGTCAATATTCCTATAGGCACTGCCGCAAGAACTAACTACTAAAGCGGATGCTGCGTTCGAGCGTCGTCGACAGCAGATGACCAATAGCTTTGGTGACGTATTCCCGTAAGAAGGAATACAAACGGGATTCATCCTATCGTTCCAGTCCTACTTGAACGTGAACTTCCCACCGATGAAAACCGAGTCTCAGCTTCGCTCCAATTCGTCAGGCCGAGCTGACCCTAATGAGGAGGAAACTACACTACTTTGCAGCAGGATGGTAGCAATGAAGGCATCATCATCATTATGCACTTAGCTGCAGGTGGAAAACACCGCAGCTATTGTGCCGCAATACAAAGGACAATGATGAAAAAAACAAGAAGCAAAAATACAGTGGTACGCCGGCTGAGTACCCAGTAACGGATGGATATCGTTCCGGACAGATAACCGCCGGTCATCGTGCCACAAAAAGTTAGGCTATGCCTAACGAATACCATCGTGATTGGAGGGGAGGCTAAGCAGGATGGGGATGGACATGGGAACTCACAGCACAAGCACCATTGGGGCCGGCTCCTTGCCATATGGGCCATAAGGCGGTCAGACGCTGACCGCGTTATGGCTACCGTTCAGTGTAGCTTATCTCTGCCTACACTGAGTACGTCTCATACATCCCGAAAGCGCAACATTTTCTCTGCACTTTTGCAGTCAAATAGTACCAGACCAGTCGCAGAATTTTGTTGGTATTACAGCCAATGTGGTGAAAAAGCCAGATGTTGTCGGGCTCCCTGCTTTGGGCACGACTCAGCCGTTTTAGGGAAAGCGAATAGCCCGCATATAAGCACGACCAACGCATCGATCACCAACCAAGTAAATCGCCTGTTTTTGGTTATCAATGTTCTTCCATCATCTTCCTCAGCGATACGGGAGCAGAAGTCAGCGTCATCCCTGCGTACGCGAATGACAAGCACTCAAAGCCCACGCAAAACCTGCGTGCGGTCAACGGTTCTCCGACAGCTTCATTCAGTCAGTGCATGCTGAACATGGATCTTAATCTCCGCCGAGACTTTCAGTGGGTCTTCATGGTTGCGTCTTTACCCTTCGAAATCATCAGTACCGAGTTCCTCCGAACTTTTGGGTTACTTATTGATGCTGGTCGCCCCAGACTTGTAGACGATCGTAGGAAAGTAGGGGTTGAAGGCTTGCTTACGGACGCCCCGGTTAGCAGTCCCGTTTTTCGAATCGCCGATGTACCTTTAGCTCATGCGAACCTGTTGTTTGATTACCCGCGACTGGTGGGATCAGTTGCAGAGCTTCCACCAGTTACGACAGAGGTAGCTCATCACATTGTCACGCGTAGTCCGCCAACGACTGCCTGACCAAGACGACTCGTCTCCGACAAATTACGTGCCGCAAGAGCTGGATTCGATCACATG